CCCCATCCATCAGAAAAAAAACAAGTTTCTGACCCCAAAACCCCCAAATTCCAACCCCAAAATCCCTCAAATTCACCCCAAAATCCACATCCCCAAACCGCCCCGATAAAAAACCCCGAATTTCCGACCCAAAAAACCCCAAATTTGCCCCAAAATCCCCCAAATTTCCACCCCCAAAGCCCCCTCTGTCTATCGTAAAAAACCCACATTTCTGACCCCCAAACCCCAAATTTCTGACCCAAAAACCCCCAAATTCACTCCAAAATTCACCACCCCAAACATTTTAGGGCCAAACCTTCAAATTTTGGGGTCAAACCATTGAAATTTGGGATCAAATCTTGGAATTTTGGGGTCAAACCTTCGAATTTTGGGGTCAAGTCTTCGAATTTTGGAGCCAAATCTCCACATTTTGAGGCCCAAACCTCCAAATTTTGGTCCCAAACCTTCAAATTTTGGGGTCAAACCTTTGAAATTTGGGATCAAATCTGAATTTTGGGGTCAAACCTCCAAATTTTGGGATCAAACCCTTCACATTTTGGGGTCAAATCTTGGAATTTTGGGGTCAAACCTTCGAATTTTGGGGCCAAATCTCCACATTTTGGGGCCCAAACCTCCAAACTTTTGTCCCAAACCTTCAAATTTTGGGGTCAAACCTCCAAATTTTGGGATCAAACTCTTCAGATTTTGGGGTCAAATCTTGGGATTTTGGGTTTAAACCCTTCACACTTTGGGGCCAAATCTCCACATTTTCAGATCAAAAACTTCAAATTTTGGGGTGAAACCTTCAAATTTTGGGGTCAAATCCCCCCACGTTGGGGCCAAACCCCCCCCGCCTTTTCCCTCCCCACCCATTTTGGGGTGAATTTGGGGGATTTTGGGGTACCTGCCCATAATTCCATGATCTCTCTGCAATCTGCTCCTCCGTCCCATAGAAGATGCGCCCGGTCTCGTTAAGCACGTACTCATTAAGGTCGTTAATTTGCTCCATGTACACCCCATCCTCTGCACGGGGTTTGGGGGAGAAAACACCAAAAAGAAGCAGATTTGGGTCAGACGCGCCAAAAAAAAATCGCTACTTTTGCTCAAAAAGGCCCCAAATTGGCGAATTTCACCCCGATCTGAGACCCAAAATCACCGCTTTTCACCCCAAGCTGCCCCGATCCCCCTCTTTTTTGCCCCTATTTCCCCACTTTCTGCCCCAAATTGCCCCAAATCCCCATTTTTTGCCCCCAAATCCCCATTTTTTTGCTCCTAAATCCCCGTTTTCCACCCCAAAATGCCCATTTGTTACTAAATTCCCATTTTTTCCCCACAAATCCCCATTTTTCCCCCCCAAATATCCCCAATGTCCCTCCTTTTCCCCCCAAATTGCCCCAAATCCCATTTTT